CAAGTTCAAAAACAATCCCAGGAAGCATTCTTCAATGTTATTCTATAAAGCTTTTGGTAAGCATTTCTATTTTCGGCAAGTTTTATACAAACATAGTTTCATGAAAATTCATATATTCACACATTATTATGTGTCTAAACCATTAGGATACAACATCTATCACATATTCTAGACTCGGAGATCACCAGTTTCACCTCATTATCTAATCGTGATCACAGTCGTAGTGAGTTCATACCCCCACATTTTCTAATAATTTTCTATGTTTTAGGGGGGGGGGGGGAAGTAAAACACAAGAATACTTGTGTAAACGACAAATCGTTTCTTACGTTTTCATATATTTTATTTCATAAAAAACCTAAATAATGTTACTGCCAAAATTATACATGCAAAGTTGTTAATACATAAAAGGTTTTCATTTCAACAGAACATACATTTACAAGCTATAATATGTATAGTTTGTGGAATATTCACGCTATTTTTACATTATGAAAGGTTAATACAAACATTTACAAGGGAAAGGGATTTTTATATGTAAAACATTTATTCAAATTTTGTGAGACATTTGGCTTCCCAATACCTTTAAGTACATAACTTAAGTCCTGTATTATAAACCAAAATCTCTTGTAGGGAAAGCACGATACTTGTGTATAGATCTATATGGGACTGACTATCGCGAACCTAAACTGTTAGCTACAGTTAGACCGGAAGGTCTGGGGTGACAAATGTCATAACATTCCGACGCCTGAAGAACGTCGTCACAGGCCAACTAGTCGTTAGCATTGTTGTAATAACTCGCATGAAGTATTAACAATACATTTTGGTTTACGAGGCTAACGTACATTTAAATAGTTTTATGCAAATTAAAACTACATATTATAAACTTTAAGTACAGAAAACGTATACATTTCCTTCTTGGAACATTTAAGATTACCACTCATTTTATATAAAATATCGGATTTTCTAGAAATAAACACGATTACTTTACTCGAAAAGGCTTACAATCATACAAACTCTTATGAACTCACCAACTTAATTGTTGACACTTTTTCAAAACAACTTTATTCTCAGGGAACCAATAAAACACGTAACCACCAGCTTTTAAGGACAGGATGCTATGGTGTCAATTAAAAACTCATTTTGTCATCATATTGTAATTTATTTGGAAACTTGTAACTCATGCAACAATGTAACCTTTTAAATTATATTTATGATGGTTGTGCTTGGTTTCTTTACTATTACTCAAATGTTATGATATTGTACATCACGTCATTCACCCTTGAACGTTTCCGCCGTTCTGGTTTGGAGGTGTGACTGATTGGTATTAGAACATTGTTTATAGCGAACTGAGTATATCAAATCACGTACGATATACAAACTATAAATATAATAGGACTAAAACTCTCTGACGTAACATTTTCGTACGAGTGTACTATAAAATATTATGATATTTTTATGAAAGTATAAGTACAATCATACTCACTAGTTCAGTGTCGTAACAGTAAAAAAACAAAAAGTATTGAGATAAGTTGAATGCTACGAGTAAGCCTCGGGGTATGTAATTATATCGAGGATAAATATAGTCTAAAACTTATGCTGAGGAATGGTTGTGGTGAACAACAAGTCTAAAACTTACCAACTTCTCATACCAAGAAATTCTAGAACCAAACATAATTTTTTTAAATACTATATGAGTATTTTATGATACTATGAGAACCATAATAACAATATTTAGGCCTCAATATTTATTAAAACTAGTAATCATAAGGAAACTTCTCATAAAAATCAAATCATTCACATAAAAAATAAAGACCCTTACCGATAGATCTATAATTGCGAAGCATATACGTCAAAGTTATATATACATAAGATTCTATAGACTTAGGAGTTGTGATTCCACTTTAAATCATGTTCCTTGTTTGGTTGTGGATTTAGAGTGAAGCTACTTATCTGACAATCTATTTGCTCTTGATTATATACAACATGTATACACTAAGTAATTATAGGAGGGCACGGTATGGGCCACAATTTTATTAAAAATTATTTCTATTAAAAAATTATTTTTCCCTCAAAAATATTACAGATCTATACACTTAAGTTTTTCATATATTTCTCATATCTCTATTGTCGAACAAAAGGAATGGCAGGATTTCACATACCAGGAGCTCCCTACTTCCCTCACCAAGGGAATGCTGGTTGGATTAGAGGATCCCAAAGAGGATGTTGAGGAAATGATGGAAGAAGAACCCGAAGACGATTTAGAAAAGGAAGAAGACGAGGAGGAGGGTCAGGAAAACACCGAATCAGAACCAGAGGTCTACAATCCACCTCCTGTCCCCACTCCCAGATGGAATTTTCATGTCCCGATGCCTTGAGTGGTGGTAGACTTGAAAAGATGGAGCTAGGAGCAGGGGCAACGCCCTCCCTATAGTATGGAAAGAGGCTTCTATAATCTTGACAGAGGGGGCTCAACAGACAGGGGTCTTCCTGTCATAGTTCGTTGCATCACTCGCCATGGTGAAAAAGCAAGGACATCCATCAACCACCTCATGGAAGTTGGTGCCACCATTGTCTTCACCGCAGTTTCCCTCCGTCGCCTGGACGAAGACCATGATCGAACCAGGAACCACATCAAGGCTCTTCAGGAGGAAGTGACCACGACTTGAGATGAGGTTAGAGAGTTTCGAGAATGCCAAGCCGAATTAGAAGGACGTGTGATAGAAGTAGAATGTCAAAGGAAAGAAGCCAAAGCTTAGACTAGGGCAATGCAGAATTTCATGTCTACATTTTATGGAACTTAGAGAAACACCCGCCGCGAGTAGTGCATACACTATTCACATTTTCATATAGATTAGGTTTACGATTAGGTGTTGGTGATACTCTTTTCTACATATGGATTCGACCTTGCGATTAAGTGACTACACTATTCGAGGATTCGTAATACTATCAAAAATTTCCTTACATTGATGTAATGTAGACCTACATCAAGGTCAAAATTTTCAAACACCATGTACTAAATCATATCAATTAAATTGGCATGCATTTTATTTCATTTGGAGTGTTACCACTAATTTCATAACCTTGTTTTTACGAATTGTTTACTTATAGTAAATCTATGATTTCTTAGTGTATGCATCAAAGTCATATATAATTAAGATTCTCTAGACTTAAGATTGGTGAGTCCACTTTAAGTCATGTTCCTTGTTTGGTTATGGGCTTAGGGTATAACCACATATTTGACGGTCTATTCAATCTTAATTATATAAAATTTGCATACACCAAGTGATTTTAGAGGGACCTGGTATGGATCAAGTAACAGATTTTCATTTGAGGCATCACTATTAAAATTCATAAGTTTATTTTACATAGACTTATATTATGAATTCCTTGCAAATACTTTAAATTCGGAACACAATACATAGAGAGCTAATGTAATCGAGTTTAATACCATCCGACCTATAACCACTACTGGAGACTTACCATCATTTCGTCTTTAACCTTATGGCTAAAGAACACCACCACACAAATCTAACAGGCGTTTCAACAACACCACAACATCACCACTGTTGGGTCCAAAATATGGTTTATACTTTTCTTTTCTAGGCTTTTGTAGTTTTTGGTCTAGGGCTAAACACAATCTTTGGTTTTATTGTAGCTTGGACCGAAATCACTTGTGATTTCGGTCTGCGTATTGTGTTTGAGCCTTGGGTTTTCGATCCATATATATATATATATATATATATATATATATATATATATAGACACACACACACGTACACATATACACTACTAGAAAAGCATCCTTTTACGACCTGAAATGCATGTCGTAAAATGCTCAGATGACGAAACGCTTTTGGGCATCATCTACAGATGAAGCGCATTTACGACACACATTTATGACACGCATTTGCGATGCACATTTACAATGTGCAATGCGTATCAAGGAAGCCACTATCATAATGGAAGACGACACACATTTTCGTGTCGTAACCTTACGATGCACGTTTAGGACACGCATTGCGTATCATTAAAGCCCCTGTCATAAATGAAGATGACACACATTTGCATGTCATAAACTTCAGCAACCATTTACTAAGTTTATTTCACTAATATGCCAAATACAAATAATTATTCCAATAATACAAAATAAAATACCATAAATAACAAGGATAATTCATTTCACTAATATGTAAAATATAACTAATTATTCCAATATTGAGTAAATGTAATAAAAAAATGAACTCAAGAGAAGCATAATTTATATACAATGCTAGCTTTAAGATCTCTATGGATGATTTTTAATCGTGAATCTTGATGTAGATAAAGAAGTACTCAAGCAATTCCTTTGATAATGTTAAAACGACTTGTACGTCCAATCAAGTTGAGAACTTCGTGTCTTATTTGCCTAACATGAAGATGTAGTCATATATCAGTTTCGGTGAATGCTTAGTTCGTAAACGTTAACTTAATGGCAATTATGTGATTCTGACCAAATAAACGCAAGTCTAAGCCTCTGTTTGGCATGTGCTTACCACAATTAAATTAAAACAAAAAAACAAATATAATGAAGAAAAACTACCCGTAGTTGCCTTAAGGTGTCAAGCCAAGAAAAACTACTTGTACAAGAGGTCTTAGACGAGCATGTTTTTGGGTATGACAAAGGGTTGCCAACTGTCACAGACTATGAAGATGAACCCAATCTTGTATCCTTTCTTCATGTGGTCTATCTGCATAACATCATTGACAAGAAGAGTACTTCCAGTGTTATGTTAAAATTGTAGTAAAGTAAGTCAAAATTAATACATTATAGCTTTGAAAAAAATTCAAATCCGTCTTTTAAGAAGCTCAACTCCGTTAGACATAGACCATCTGCAAGAGTTTGAGGCATCCACTGAAATTTTTAGCAAATTACACAAAGGGGTAGAAATATTCCTCAAATCATAACAATAATTTCTATAATCAATAGACCTAAAAGACAACAAATGACTGGTGTAAGGAGAAAATTAGACTGAACACACATTTGTTACATCTCTGATTGTGGTCAAGCTCTTCTTCTACATATATATCAAAAACCACAATCATTTATACATATAAAGATATATAATTAGCTAAAAGGGTAAAAGGATAAAAAGGGGTATACCTCATTAATGCTCCATAATTTCAAAGTATAGTCATCACTTCCACTGGCTAACTTCATAGGATCTAGTTGAGAAAAGTCAATAGACCATGTCAACCTTTCATGCTCCATATGATGATAAACTGCTTCACCAATTCCAACGTCCCATATCTGTATTTATTTATTTATATATTAACATATGAACTAATTTTATAAAAGAATTGTGTAAATTTACTAAATTTTACCCTGACTATGTCATCATAGTCTGTTGAAGAAATATAGTTCTTCCATAAAATACAACTAATCTTTGATTTTTAATAGATTTTGAACATCAACTAATCCCAAATGCTCTAAAATTGCACAAAACCAAGAAATTTACATAGATTTTTTAAAATCTCGCCAGTTGGTTGATTCAAGAACAAATTAAGGCAACTCCAAGAACTGTGTAAATAATAATACTCAAATGATAAAACCCCATCACACGATTCCTGCAAGAAATCAAATCACACTCTGTAATGGAATGAATTAATACATCTAAAAAATATTGAATTAAAGCTAATAAAAAACATGAAAAAAGAGTGTCTAACATTCTTAAAATCAACAGGTCTCTTGTGCAGAAAAACAATTTAAGCATACTTAGTACTATATTCAATACTAAACAACAAATTCCTTCGAGCCTCTATTCCCAATTTGACCTTTTTAGTGTCACATGGATTAAGTTCTTATTAGCAAATTCTATAAAAAGTTACAATCTGTTCAAATTGTGGGGTGCACATGAAAAACCAATGAGTAATGTAACAATAATACGTGATTTTGTTGCATTTAGTATTTAAAAGATGGTTTCCTTCAACTGAAGAAACATGTCCATATTAAAAAATGTCTTACTTCCACCTGTTTCACAATTAACCATTAATCAATCGCCTTCAAAAAAAATATTAAAATACCCAAAGAGTTATTTAAAAGAATACTAAAAACAAGTTTTGCTAATTATATTTTGTTATCTTACTTCTTCAACAGAACAAGCATTAGAAGAAGCTAGGGCTGAAATATCTTCTAAACTTCCATTAGCATTTGCCATGTGCAATCTTACAATGTTTTCCATAGTTTCAATATGAGATATATACAAATTCTTTGATGCAAAAACGTTTTTCTTTAATTCAGCAATAGCCAAAATCAAAAAATCAAATAAACAATTAAAAAAGATATACAAAACTAAACAAAACAAAAAAACAAGTAACTTAATTTGATAAAAGTAGTGGAACCTTATCATTAATGTTGATGAAAGTGTGACAGAATTTTTCAATGCATTGAAGCTGTTCATTTTGTTGAGATACAGAAGCAACCACCATGTTGGAAAGAGAACCAATATCCCACATCATTCTCTTCCAACCTGACAACATGTATCTACAAAACAAAATAGAGAAAATACATAGTTGAAGAGATGTTTAGTTTTCAATGCCCTGGACAAAAAATAAAAACAATAACCCTTTGTTTGTGTAGATTAGTAGACCAAACACATTTACAAAATGTTTTAAATAACAATAGAGCAATAAATTTAAAGACAATTGAAATTTATATCCATATACAAAAAGCTACAAAAATCACCTAAAACAATGTTTGTGTGCCTTCTTTGAAGCAAAATCCCTACCAAATTCACTTGCTTGCTTCTTTTTCTCGGACAGTTTCTTTTTGCATGATTGCATCACCACTTGAATCCCATGTTAACACGATAAATAGATGTGAAAAGGAAATCGATTTTTGGCATTTATCTACAACATAAAAATTAACAAGTCGAGGGGTACCAATAAACTTATGATGAGTGAACTTATAAGTAGTTCTATTGATATGTTTTACTAAAAAATATGGAGATTTTTACTCCCTTAGCATCAGCATATTGTGCCTCAAAAGCACAACGTGGTTTATTCAAATTTTTTATTTGTCGATTTCTCAATTCCTATTTATATTACCTTCTCATTTGAAGTCGTAGTCGATTCATTATGCTTTATGCTGGATCCTTCCTTTCAAGCTCCCCTGTTGAAGAATATATATTATTTTCTAGAATGATAGCTACCTTTTCAATCTTAAGATGACATCCTAATCATTAATATGAGAGATTTGAGATAAAAAAGAATTAGTTTTGCTAATGAGATAACACAAAACAAAAAACTGTTGGATCAAAAGCCTTACTAGCTGAAGCACAAACATTATAGAAAATCAAATATCAAAACATAAAAACTATACCTTAGGTCTCCAGAGATTCAGAAAAATGGACTAGAAAAATACCTCATGAATCAGAACATAAAAGGGAGAAATTAAATATAAAAAATTGAAGATATGTATTCCAAAAATTCAAAAAGTAGAAATTGGATTAATAAAATTAAAAACCCTACCTAGTGAAGGATGAATCAGACTTTAAACTCATCATCTGTCTTCACTTTTCATTCTTCATGTTAAAAGAGATCGAGAATGGGAGATGGTATCTAGAAATCAGGAGTTTAAGGTTTAGAGATCGAATGACTAATGAGATGCTATTCGAATGGGAGAGGCCAAGAGGGACAGACGGTATCCAAACATCGGGAGTCTAAAGAAAGATATCGACACGAGAGAGTAGACTCCTCGTCTTCTACATCTTTGACCCTTAATCTTTCTAGTAATCGTGCTCCCTTGCCTAACCTCCATAGATTCACAGAAGTTAGATTGTTGATCAGAACCGTGACGATAGAATTGGGCCAAAACAATCGCTACATCTTCAATGCTGTGTGGGATGAGAAGTTGTAAGGCCCTAAATTGTCGACTCTAGGATAGAAGTAGAAGAAGCAGGTAAGTTCTTCACACTTTCAAGCATAATTGTAACCCAATTGTCGACTCAAGCATAATTTAAACCCAATCATAGTCACCCAACGCGAAAATATGTGATTTAGGAATGGCAGAACTCTGTGGTGAAAGCCACTGATATTATCTTGGAACGAGATTCAAGTAAGCCAAATTCAAGATTTGTGAAATTCTAGGGCACACGAGGCTACTTGTTGCCTGATTTTCAATATACCGGAGTTCCGACACATAAGTCCGACTTGTACACTTTCGGAGTTATACTTCTGGAGATATTGTTAGGAGAAGAAGGCAAGTGCGGGAGGAAGGAAGGAGCATCGATAACTAGGGCAAGGTCGAAGGGGAAGGAAGGATCGTAATTAGGGAAAGAGGGAAGCACAAATGGAGGATGAAAAAGAAGGCAGGTTTTGAAAATTATGGGGATTTCATTTTCCTGATATCTATATAACGCGTCCTTCATTTAAATTATAAAGCGACACTTATAGAGGACGCACATTTAAGATACAACGCCCTTCGTGTTTTAATTTTTTTCTTATGACACTAATTTAAGGGCACGCAATAATGCGTGACGTAAATCCTTAATTTTTTTTTTTGAAGAGATGACACTTTTTTAATGTCACTCCCTTTTGCGTAACATAAATCAATGAGTGTCGTGGTTTGCGCGTCGTAAAAGGGTCTTTTTCTTGTAGTGTCATATATATATATATATATATATATATATATATATATATATATATATATATATATATATATATATGGGTTAGACAATGTTTAGGAGTGTGTCTAAGGAGGGGAGGGGCGTTCAAGAGGAGCATTCATTCATATATTGGTGTTCTAGAGAGAGAAACTAGAGGGAAGAAGTGTTTGTGTGTGTGAATCTTGTATACATGGAGCATGATTGAATATTATTGAATACATTGAAGATTTGTCAAGTTCTTATTCTTCTTCTTCTCCACTCTATCTTGCATCATCCACTTGATTAGGATTCAACACCATCAAGTGGATGGGATTGATACGTCAAGGGAATTTGGGGACTAACAACCACCACCGCCAGCACCTCCATAATTCAATCCTTTCATTTTCCAGGTTGCGGTAACAACCGCAGTGGTTGCTTCCATGTCACAAATCAGTACCAATGGTACCAGTGGGGTAGGAAATGGTACTATAAATTTTAACCAAGGAGGCAGTCAAGGATGCTCAAGGAAATGCTCCTATAAAGACTTCACTAATGGTAAACCAAAATCCTTCAATGGAAGCGGAGGTGCCATCACTCTAATGCAACGGTTCGAGAAAACTGAATCAATCTTTGAAATTTGTACGTGCCCTAAACCAGAAAATTCAAATTTGCAGCTTGCACCTTCTCTCATAGAGCCCTTACCTGGTGGAACAACCATGTCAAGTCATTGACCATCCTGGTGGCTAATTCGATGAGTTGGGAGGACTTGAAGATTTAAATGCTAGAAGAGTATTTCCCTAGAGGTGAAGTGCAAAAGTTGGAATAGGAGCTATGGAACCTCATAATGGTAGGCTATAACATCGCAACCTATACTTCCAGATTCAGTGATCTAGCGGTACTATGTCCTGTGATGGTCACCCTTGAAAGTAAAAAGGTGGAGAGATATATATGGGGACTATCCCCCCATATTCAAGCGAACATGTTGGCTTCAAACCTGATTACTTTTGACAGTGCCAAATGCTTGGCCCAAAGACTCATCGATCATGGAGTCCGCCAAGGCATCATGACCCTTGTCCCCGAGTAAACGAAAGGGGGTGATAATAAAAGAAAATTCTGAAACAAAAAGAAGAACCAAACCGGCATAGGACTCTGCTAGGAAACAACAAATTGTTGTTGCTCACGCTGCAATACCCTTGCCGCTCCAACGCCATTGAGATAATATATTGGGAACCTACCCAAATTTAACAAGTGTAACTTCCACCACATAGGCGCTTGTTGGGAAATGCACTGCAATAATTGAAAAAAAGGGGCATACGACCCGTTTCTGTAAGGCGCCAGCCTAACAAATCACTCAGGATGCCAATACCGGGGTAAGCCGGGCTTGCTACAGCTGTGGAGAGACTGGGCATTTCAAATGAGAGTGCCCAAAGGCAGGAAATGCTAATACCAGCGGTGTGGGAAGAGTTTTGGCCATAAGGCACGAAGAAGCCGTTGAAGACCCCACAGTGATTACCAGAACGTTTCTCCGTAATAACTCATATGCATGTATAGTTTTCGATAGTGGAGCGGAAAGGAGTTTTGTAAGCCACAAATTTAAACACATACTCAATCAAAAACCATGATCACTCAATGAAATGTTCACAATAGAATTGGCAAATGGTAAAACTAAATTCACAAAGGATATGTACATAGGATGCACTCTAACTGTAAACAAACACTCCTTCCAAATCGATCTAATACCGATAACGATAAGAAGCTTTGATGTCATGATTGGTATTGATTGGTTAAGTCTTTACCGAGCCAACATCATATGTTACGAAAAGGTCGTTCGCCTTAATCTACCAAGTAACGAAACCATCGTCATTTATGGAGAAAAACCCGGCTCAAAGCTACGGATCATCTCTTGCATCAAAGCTCAAAAATATCTACATGAGGAATAACACGACTTTCTAGTTCACTTGGTGGATAAGAAACATGAGGTAAAAGACATCAAGGATATTCCCGAAGTCTGTAACTTTACTGATGTATTCCTAAAAGACCTTCTAGGAGTAACACCTGCGCGACAAGTCGAATTCCGAATCGACCTAATTCCTTGAGCCACCCCCATAGCCAAATCCCCATACCATCTAGCACTGGAAGAGATGGAGGACTTATCCAGTTAGCTGAACGAACTGCTAAGCAAGGGATTCATCAGACCAAGCTTTTCACCTTGGGGAGCACCAATCCTATTTGTAAAGAAGAAGGATGGATCATTTCAAATGTGCGTTAACTACCGGGAGCTAAATAAACTTACCATCAAAAACCGATATCTCCTACCCCGAATTGATGACATGTTCACAAACTCCAAGGAGCAAGCTATTTCTAAAAAATTGATCTGAGGTCGGGATACCATCATCTACGAGTTCAGGAGGAAGATATTTCCAAGACAACATTCAGAACCTGCTACGGTCACTACGAGTTTGTAGTGATGCCCTTCGGATTAAAAAATGCACCCACAGTGTTCATCGACCTAATGAACCGCGTATGACGACCTTACTTAGACATGTCCGTGATTGTATTCATCGATGACATTCTAGTCAATTCGCAAAGTGAAGAAGAGCATAGTCAGCACCTATAACAAGTAATAGAGACATTCAGGCCAGAGAAGTTATATGCGAAGTTCTCGAAATATGAGTTCTGGATACGGAAAGTAGACTTCCTCAATCATGTGGTCAGCAAGGAAGGGATACATGTAGATCCCTCCAAGATCAAGACAATTAAAAGCTGGGCAGCACCAAGAACACCTACAGAAATCCTTTAGTTCTTAGGCCTTGTTGGCTACTACTGAAGGTTCATACTAAACATCTCCAATATCACTAAACCCGTCACCACCTT